CAGCCGATCGTAAAGAGACCGCGTGTATACACAGATGCTAGTTGGCAGCCAGAACTCGGTGCAGCGCCAGGCCTTGGCGGAGTGCTCTTTATGCCGGGTGCACAGACAAAAGGGTATGCCACGACCGTGCCACAAGAAGTGATTCAGGCTTTCCTCCCCCGTGAAACCCAGATTAGTCCTTTGGAGGCCCTGGCGGTTCTACAGATGACACTGCTTTTCCAGCAGGACCTGGCAAATCGGGATGTGATCTGGTGGGTTGATAATACTAGTGTGTGCAGTGGTCTCATCAAAGGCGCATCCACCGCATCAGACTTGGCACAACTCACGCTTGTCATCAACCTTCTGTGGGCATCCATGGGGTGCAGAGTCTATGTCGACTACGTGCCTTCTGATAGTAATGTTGCTGACGGTTTGTCTCGTGACGGTTTGCAGGATTCCTGGACGCAGGCTCAGCAGTGGGCTTTGCAGCAGGCACATTGCGTGCCGTGGCACCTTTACAGTAAGGACCCATTGCATTTCGTTCCGGTCAGGCTGTTTCGTTGGAGCTCTTGATTGCTTTGTTTCATTGGAGGCACAGGGCTATTCAAGCACCCGCATTGAGCGGTATATGTCAGACCGAATCTGATTTATGCTCCAACGACAGGTCTGACCAAATCTGAAACTCATGATCGATGGAGGTTCGTGCGGTGTGATGAAGAAAGGTCCGATGCATTGGCGGCGAGAGCATGGTTTCTGATTAACCACCGTATGTCCGTGATAGTCCGTGCACCCGAGGGGCATGCACACGAAACATGTGGGGACACTTATGTTCCTGTGTTTATCGTATGGCTAGTTGGGCAGGGGCTAAACACAGTTATAAGTGTGGAGCCTCGGCATAGCCATTGAGGCTCGAATCCGTACGATTCTTTTCCCACCCACCCATCCCTGAGGGGGTTCCCGGAGGGGGTGAGGGGGGTATTGCGACTTATGTTTGTATTGGAGTTGGTCCAGTGCCGGAGGCACCGGGCTATTCAAGCACCCGCATTGAGCGGTATATGTCAGACCGAATCTGATTTATGCTCCAACGACAGGTCTGACCAAATCTGAAACTCATGATCGATGGAGGTTCGTGCGGTGTGATGAAGAAAGGTCCGATGCATTGGCGGCGAGAGCATGGTTTCTGATTAACCACCGTATGTCCGTGATAGTCCGTGCACCCGAGGGGCATGCACACGAAACATGTGGGGACACTTATGGAAGCAAGCGTCATTGTAGCTGTCGAAAGGTAAGGCGGCAGGGGCCATACTTACCGAATGCAGCTTAAAGCGAGAGTCTCCATGACCGCAGAAAAATCCATTACTCCATTATCGTGACATCCATCCAGTGCTTTGTTTGGGCATGGACGAGCTGTAAACCTTTGTTGTGACGCTGATGGCAGCTGCAGCAAGCTGTCGCACAAATCAGTCGAGATTCGGTCTTCTTGCCACAGGAGTCAGCCAAGAATTTGTCGAGCTTGCGGCTGCCCTGGCACGTCGTGGCTTTTTCATGTCCGCTGCCTCGTCCCCGGCGGAAGCACTGCAAAGTGCCCATGGGAGACGTCGCAGCCACTCAAAGCAGGTCGTGCACGGCAGACCTCACGAAGGCCTCGCCGCCTCGCACCAGAACAGTTTTATCACATTGCGTCTACACGCGGAAACCTTGGTTCTCAGTGAATGTGCCAGGGGGCGACCGCAGAGATGCAGTGCAGTCGTCGCGATGGTGGCAGAGCTCGAAGGAGGCCGGGCTCCCTGCAAGCCGGACCCGGCAACCGACCAGAAGGTAGTCTTGTTTTTGAACTGATCTCAAAGATGTCTGGCGCGTGGTGTTTGTGCGGTTGGCTCAAAGATGTACCTTGACATGCTTATCTGTCTACGTATTTACGTCTTACATACTTATCAGCTTGTCTATCTACCTTTCTACTTCTATTGTCCATTCCAGGTCGTGAAAACCCTCGAGGAATGAGCCACCCACGCGACGCCTGAAAGGAGCGGATAACCGCAGCAAGCGGAACAGGACAAGCTCAGCTGCGGCTTGTCTTTGAGAGAAGTGCTTTGGCATCTCTTATTCCTCAGCACAGCCGGCAAACCGAGCAGGCAGGTAAGTAGTGAGGATGGCAGGAAGAGAGAAGACGGGGTTTGCAAGAGGAGAATTCGGTACTGCGAGCTCGACACCCATGAACCCAGACCCAGTAGTACCAAGCCCTGAACCGCGGAGTTTGGGCACAGGCGAATCAGCCGGAGCTCGTGGATGGCAGCCGTCTTAGCTTCGAGGGCTGCGGCCTTCCAACTGCCGGCCGGATCGGAGAGTTTCCGGAACGATAAGGTGCAGAGCTTGCCAGAAAGCTCATCGCAAGCCGGTGTCCTGAAGCTCTGTCCAGCTTCAAGGCTGGGTCTTCTTCCATTGTCGAAACGCGAATTGGCAGTGTCTCTGAGCCCAAGACTCCAAGACTCAAAGCGATGGTTGTGGACTCTGTGTGCGGGTGTGTCTGGAGGTATCAGGTTTTCCAGCCAGATCATCAAGGTTTAGTTCCTTTGTGAAAACCTGTTTTTTGTTGTTTGTTTTGCATGTCTGAGTGTGTCACTGTGTGTCTTCGTGTCACCCGTAAGAGACTGGCTCCGACAGGGAACATGTCACGGGCTGTTACGTTCCGATCTTTTTGTGATCGTGTTGAAAGAGCGATGATAAACATGCAGTTCCACCTGGTTTGATCTGCTCCTGTGACCGTCGTCGTACTCTTCCCGGACCCATTCGTCAAAGCCAGAACAACGAGCTTTCGTTCGAGTCGGCTTCACTTAAGTTCTTGTGGGCACGTGTGGTGGGGCGACAGTCCGTTCGTCAATCACTCCATTTTAAGGGTTGCTGTGGCTCCTGAGGTTTTCACATGCGTGGGTGGCAAGGCCCCTACAACTTACAATTGCCAGCGTGTGCAGGTGATTTGTCTAGAGAACAACGGCATGACCTCGATAGCATCGTGCAGCCTTGAGGTCCTCTTCGTCCTCAGTCCAGGCCCGTGAGTGGTGGTGTCGCTGCTGCGCGTGACCTGCTACGGGATCCTCTGCCATGCACGCGATTCTCTGCCAGGTCAGTGTCATTCCACCGGGCTGGGCCGTCGGAGGCTGGAGTTCAATCGGTACCCCATACCAGTTCCCGCTTCGTGCGCTCGAAAGAGCATGTCGACACTTACGTCTTGACTGCAGGAGGTCGGCAGAGTGATGTCCAGCCATGGGCTTGAATCGAAGCCAAGTCATATTTCCATGAAGCTTGTTTTGAAGAGCTGCCATCTTCCGCCGACTGCCCATTGCTTTTGCATTCCAGGCGTGGATGATTGCATCCAGTACATTGCCAAGGAGCACCGAGTGTCTGTGCTGATCTCAGACGCTGGATTTCAAGAATCAGTTTTCGTACTGGCTCCTGTGTGGTTGTGAAGATCGTTGAATGGTGGTTGGGCTCTAAGCGCTTGGTCGTTCGCTGTTGCTGGGACGCACCTGACCAAAAAGGTTGCGGTTACCACAGGATCCCAACAACTCATGTTGAAATGAGCCTCATCACATGCGGTCCTGCCCTAGAATCCCGAGAAGAGCTGCCCCCCAAGGCTCGTCGGGTTGTTCTATTCACGGCCCCTTGACTGCAAGACATTGCAAGGCAAGACAGCCAGAGTGGAGGTCGGCAGGAGAGTGTTGATGAGCAGAGGCTTCGAAAGAGCTGGCTCGAGACGGAGCCGATGAGAGCTGGACGGCCATTCATGTTCCGAGTTCTACCGAAGGCAGCTTGAGCGAAATCGCGCAGCCTCGTTGGTGAGCCTCCATTTCAGTAGGCTTCCGCTTCGATGACATACAGCTCCCAAACGACGGCGAGTCAGGCTGAAAGCTCCGGCAGTACCCACCGTCGAACCATATTATGATCTCACGAAGGTTGGTTCGAGCTGCCAGAGATCATCTTCAACAAGGTGCGTCGCTCCGACACAGCAGCCTTACCCCCGGCGCTTGTTTCTCTGTCGCCGTTCCTGGATATTCGCTAGGAAGCCCTACCTGTGCCTGTGGACGACGGCCCGAGTCGCCACAAAGCAAAGCATGGAATGGCTTGTTGCTAAACCCGAGAACCCGCAGGAAACTTTAGAATCCTAAACGGAGATATCGGCGGGCGAACCCTAGACCCCAGCACGAAGTGCGGGATGGGGATCACTACGCCGCACATTGACCTTGAGTTCACCGGGAAGCCAAAGGACGGTGGCATCTTGCCAAGGCTCATATCCAGACAGAACTGGCTTTCCGCCCTGATACATGCCAGAAACTGTGTAGCTCCAACGTGGAAGCTAGTGTGCCATTGCACCTTCACAAGCTTACATTATGGAGTCAGATAGGGGAAATGCACAAGGAAGCAGAATAGCCGGCAAGCAGTGCTAAACCCAATTCGTAACAGGATATGTTGACCAGCGAAGCCTAAACCGGAAAAGGAGGTGTTCGGTTGGAAAGGGCCCGAAAAAGAGGGAATTCTATTGGGTACAGTGATCCCTGGCATTCAGGAAAGAGTCTTCAGTGAATGCTGCCAGGGCCAGTCATCTCAAGACCTAGTGATCTGAAATATGAGCTGATAAAGGGGTACCAAGCGCAGGTGTTGCGCTTGATGCGGCTGGCCTGAGACGGCAAGTTTTCCAGTGGTTCTGTGTAGGCACATGACAGGCGTGGGGTATATCCTTCAACTCCCCCAGTGCACAAAGTGGCCATACGCGATCGTGCTAACCAGAATGCCCAAAAAAATGGCACTCAACAGTAACATGCTGGTTTCTCCATTGCAGTGTCGACGGCTGCCGTCGACCTGGTGCTGTATTCGGCGCTACTCGGTTTTGGTTCAAGCCTAGCTTTGCTGGAATCGCGACTGCGGCGCTGCAGCTACATTCAAGGTATTGTTGCTCTTTGCTGACTAGCATGGAGCTTTATCGCGCCTACCAAAGACCACGTGCAGTCAGTAAGTCTTACGGGTATTGTCGTCATGCATGATCGGCGCATGCCGCAGAATCGGCCCTCCGTTCAAATCGTGTGCCAGCGTCTTCCCCAGACCGACAGGGGCAGGAGTTTGCGGATCGCGGTGCGATGACCATCTTTTGAAGCCGTTGTCTTGATGTTGCCGTGAGTCTGAGGCTCTGTTGAAGTGTGGAACATCTGGTCAGATCGGCCCAGGTTTCAAGAGCAACCTCGGAAGTATGCAGCGCAGCGTAGTCTTCATCTCAGACACTGTTCTGTTGTTCTTTCGTTTTGGGTTTTTTCCGCAAATCTAAACGCAAGCCGCCAAGGTTTGTCTCCGGCTCGCAACTTGTCAACACGTGCTCAAGGTATTCCACAGCAAAGTGCAGCGCTTCTTGGTTGCATAGTGGCATGGTGCTGGTGGTGCTGCGATTGTCTCGAAACCATAGTCGCACGAGTCAACATTGCCCACAGGTTCTGGAGACAAGTCAGGCAGCAAGCAGAATTCATTTGGCATGGCGATGCCGGGAACTGCCCACCTGGCCCACAAGTTCGCATTTGTCTAGCCACGCCTCTCGTGCACTGTGGAAAAGCTTCAGGCGAGTCTCACCACGTTTTGCAGCCAAGTGGAGTCCGCAGGAGCCAGAGTGTGGGTGGAACTCCGAGGGGCGCCCATGACCCGGCCAGGTGTCAGCTTCGGGCGCCACCACCCTGTATCTCCATAGCAGGAGGAATCTCCAGTGGAACATACCATCCGCCGAAGTTGGCATGGCCCCTTAGACCTGTTCATGCTTCGTCCGGGTCACAGCCGAGCTACGCTCCCAGGCAGGGGCAGCTACAGGCTCCAGACCAGGCCAAACCTGTGTCCCTACGTGCTCGCTCCTGCGACGGGATACCGCGGTGGGTGTCCCAACGGCCTGTGGAGTTGACACAGCCATCGACCGCACTGCTTCGTTCTTCTTCAGATCGGCGGCCGCTGGCGACGGCGTCCGAAAAGCCGAAGCAAGGCCAAGGTCGATGTCACTCGGCCCCAGTGCTGAGACTGAGACAGGCAGAGCCTCCAAGTCCAAGGCCAAGGCCGGGCAAAACCACTGCACCTCGGCGTGGGCCCTGCGTGGTCCAGAGGATCCTTCGCTTGCCCAGCCCGAGACTGCGACCTCCGCTTCCCAGCTACAACCATCCCAACCCCAAGCCCAAAGAGGCCCAGGCCGCCGAGGCCGCCCAGCCCACGGCTCTCGGGCCCGGGCGGCCCGGGCCGCGCAGTCCGAAAGCGGGTCCCAGAGTCCACACCCACACAGCGCACGCATCGCACACATCGCGCACATCTCGCACACCGGGCACGCAGCTCACGCCCACAAACACCGCGGCCTTCCTCCCACACGGGCGAGTAGGCTCAGGCCCAGGCACGCGCCTTCACACGCCGAGCCCCAAAGGATGCAGGGAGCCCACGGAGGGTCAGAATCCTTTCGGGAGTCCAAGAGTGCTTGAGGTCAGTGAGATTCAGAAGACGGTGCACATCGGATCTGGGAGCTTTGGGTCTGTTTGGAAGGCGACTGTTCGTGGATATCCAGTTGCTGTCAAGATCTGCCAGCAGAATACAGCCAACGAGCGCCGGGTCACTCTGAAGGAGCTCGGCTTTCTGTGCAACTTGCATCACCAGCGATTGGTGTCCTTCTTGGGGTTTGCGCAGACGGCAGACCAGCTGATCTTCGTTATGGAGCTGATGACTGGGGGAAATTTGTCGGATCTGTTATTCTGCAAACGACCAGTGTTGAGCTTTAGGCAGAAGGCGTTGATGGGCTGTCAAGTCGCCGAAGGTCTTTCATTTTTGCACGAAAGGCATGTTATTCATCGAGATCTTAAGACCATGAATGTCGTGCTGGATGCCTCGCTCAATTGCAAGCTCTGTGACTTTGGCCTCACTCTTTATCTGGACCACACGCACATTACGGTGTGCGGATTGCAGGGCTCTCCGAGGTACATGGCACCCGAGCAGCTCGAGACGACAGTTCGCATATCGGAAAAGGTGGACATTTGGCAGATGGGTTGCGTGATGCTGGAGCTGTTCTGTACCGTGGTGCCCTTCAGCAGCCTCAGCAATGTGGCAGCGATTATCTCGGAGGTGGGATGTACAAGCTGACTGTTCGTCGTTTTGTCCATTCGTACTTTGCGTGCACGCCCTGAGTTGATCGTAAAGAAGAACGGCCCGACGATTCCTGATGATGCAGATCCGCGGGCTCGAGCTCTCATATTGCCATGTTTGCGAATGAGGCCAGCCGGCCCCTCCTTTCTTCTGTTCTAGGTAGGTTGTGACGTGCATGGTGGCTGTGAGCATGCAAAGCAGTGTTTATTTGAAGCAGCCCTTGACACCTCCTGCAGTCCGCGGTCTCGTCCTGCAGCAGACACATTGCAGCTTGCTGGAACTTGAGGTTACATTCATTCATAGCACATCAGGGCAACATGAGTTAGCCGCAGTTAGCCTCCCATAAGACTCGAGTGTGAGAGGGTAGAACGGGGTTTGTGAGGTTGGACGTCTTGGGCCGCGTAGTGAGCAGTGGCAGCACGGCTGTCGCAAAATGATGTCCTCCACAGCAGGGCATGTGGAATTTGGTATGGTCTGCTGCTTTAGCACTGAAAATCGAAGTCCCCAATGTGAATTCCTGAAATTTGCCAAACTGCATGTGTACAGCTACGACTTGTCGCGACTCAGCGATTGCAAGATCGGTCGAAATTTATTGAAGCATTTGGATGGTAGGGCGATGGAATGTGATGTGGAAGGCTGCTTTACTGCACTATGCCTGACATCTAACCGGCTTGGTGGCCGCAAGCTTGGCGAACGTGACAACACAGCTTCAAAGGAGCTGCCAAGTAAAGCAAAAGGCTTTCCTGTGACATCGCTGAATGTGACACGTTGCATGTAGAGAGACCTGGCCTTCGTGTTCGCATTCCACGGCGGTTGATGGAAAGTGCAAGCAACTGGTGCACGTGGCTCACCGTTCTCGAGACTCATCTTGAGTCATCCTGAGGTTTGTGCTAGAGTACAACAAGGGTGACAACCCCGGACCATGACTTCAAACCGTTCAGCATGGACAATGGATCAGCAGCCTTAAAGCGGCGTCAAGAGATTCATAATTGCATGAGCCCTGGTTGTGTCAGAGACCGGACGAATGGCCGAGCATGTGGTACTGTTGGCACCCAGGCTTTAACCTCTTCGCGATTCCACCATTGGTTCTTCTGACAGGCATCTGAGCTCACAACTGTGCCGTCCAGTTGCCAGTCGCTGCCTTGAGGTTGGTCGTTGGCAAAGCCGTCACCAGCAGCTCACAAAGCTTTGTCATGGAGCGTGCGGTACCATGATTTCGTGACATTCAAAAGCATCGGTGTTGCACGAGTCACTGCCACGAAAGCGTTTTCTCGTCTCAAAGGTGTTGTGCTACACGATGTTGGACACGATCTACAACTTGATGGTGCTTGCACTCCCTTCTGAAGTGCTGCTCACCGATCGCACCCGAACGCAGAGGTGCCTGAATGTCAACCGTCGAGGCGGCGCTGGGATCCTCCCTCAGCGTCACCATATGCCCCCAAGAACGCCTCCAGTAGGCGCCTCCATCTATGCCCGAGCCGAGGCCAGTATTCTGCTTCACCACGCTGCTCGGAGGCATCACGTGATGCACAGAGGCGAAGAGCTCGCAGCCTCGCAGCATTTTCAGGTGACGGCGGCTTGGCTGGTTTGCTTCCCTATCAGCTACGAAGGCTTTGCACACCTGACGGCATATTGTGCCTTCGACGCAGGTATTTTGGCGCTCCCGTGTTTTGTTGTGATCTTGTCGGCATAGTGCAGTGAGGCACTGCAGTCGAGCTCAATACAATGTGCTTCGCCATCTACAAGGCAGGACTGGAAGGTTTCTGACAGTGCTCCTGTAATAAATGGCTGTTAGACGGCAGGCTTTCAAGGGGCCAGCAGCCCGTGCTGCACATCTGCTCACCTGGGTGTGGAGCTTACGAAGGCGGAATCCTTTGCCAAAGTTCACATCCACGGCTTCGATCTGAAGCAACATGTTGGGCCTATCGACGTTCTTTGTGCCACACCGTGACTGCGCTACGTACTTTCATTTTCGTCCGTGTGTTCTACTGTTGGATGTGGCATGGTAGTCTTGGAGTTGGGGATTCTGTCACAGGCTTGCGCTTTGGGATCGCTCGGGAGAAGCAGGACCAAAAGTAAGTTGGTGCTCGGCACAGGAGAGCGCGTGAGTTAAGGTGGTTCTCAGACTTGGCTGGTATCCGTACCTCGTGCCGGACACCTAGCTTTGTGCTTTGCATTGAAGCGTGACGTGCACCGTACCTCGTGCCGGACACCTAGCTTTGTGCTTTGCATTGAAGCGTGATGTGCACATTCCTCAGCTATCACCACCTTGAGCTATTCATAGCCGATGTTGCCAGTCGGCTTGACGATGTCAGACGAAGTTCAGACAAAGAGCTCCCTCAGCATCGGTTTCAAAGACTTCGCAGTGGAAGTCGCTACGACGGAGTGCCAGCGCAATTGAAGATACACGAGCTGAAAAGCCAAGACGAATACTGGCCGTTGCAGCCGCCGCGAATGAATGCAGAATGCATCTGTACTGTGTAAGGTGCGGAGCATTCCTAATGCGGAACCGCCCATCTGAGGTACCACTTTCACCAAGTCGTCCGCGGAGCTGGATTTGCAGTCACCCCCTAAGCTTGAAGGGCGTAAGCTGCCGTAGTGTGGCCACGGATCGATCGCCGAAGCTTTGTACTCTGTCCGATTTCGGCGAGACAGTTCGCGTCGGAGCGATTTCTATGCGATTCCGCTGCTGCTGGCTTCGCAACACATGGGAAAGCCATAGCAGCCTTTTAAAGCTCTGTTACGGTTACGGTGGCGGAGAGTGACGCTCCGAATCATCTCCATGCAGGCTTAGGAGGGATCCCGAGCTTCCCGGCGGGCTCCATTCTCCTTAGTATCTTTCCGTGGGGGTTGGAGCTATAAATGCGGTGTGGTCCGTAATTTGCGGGAAGTGTCTTCTGGTAGTGGTATCTATCCAGTAAGGACATTGCATACCGCGACGACGTCCCTGCGCGACTATCCTCTCCTTAAATGCCGAACAGAAGATACTGCTATGATCTGCTATGCGTGCGGTCTGTTCGGTCTTGCTTGAAGACTTCGATCATTGTCTTGTATTAGTTCCAATTTAGGGTCTCCGAGGCTGGTACTGGCTTGCCGGCTCGGGTCGTAATTCGAGAATAGCACGAGGCCTTAATACCAATGCTTTTGCGCAAGAACCTATAGCAACTATAGTACTGTCCATATACCTTTTTGAGGAATTTGTCCGTTAGCGTCAGAGAATCTAGGCCATAAAGAAGAACAGGAATAGTGGCGGTGTGGTAGATGCGGACTTTGGTTTTCTGGGCAGTGAAGTGTTCCAACCATACGTCGTAGCTTTTTGAATGCTTCCTCGGTAAGTCCTCGTCTGTGATCGAAGGCGGTATGAAACGGCTTGATCAGCTTGATCCAGCTTATCCCCGACTCGAGATATTTAACCTGAGTCGTTGCAGGCACTACTGAGCCGTCTAGAAACTTAAGTGCGGTGTGATCAGATTTGGGGTGGGAGAGCAATTTGGTTTTGCTGTGATTTAATTTGATCCCCATATCCTGCGCTGCAATTTCTAGCGCGCTGAACATTCCCTGTAATTGGGAGGGTGGTTGGGATTTCTTCAGTCAAGCACGTTTCGCCGTGTTGGGCATCTAGGTTGGCAGCTACGAGTACTGCCAGTCGGCCGCTTCCTGAGATGCTAGTGATGTGGGCATGCACACCATAGCTTCGAGTCTGTGCGTCGCAGGTTGGATCACAAGTGATCCTTTGCAGCTTGAACTTTTTCTGGACAGTAGAGGCCGTGGATCCAATTAGAGACATAGCTTCAGCAGAGATTGGTGCGGTTCCGAAGATCTGAAGGTCTGACATGTGGATCTGTTTCTGGGCTTGGGCAAACTTGTCGATCCGCTTTGAAGGTAGCTCTTGGCATGCCCAGCGCTGAGATCTTTCAGATTCGGAGAGCAGCAGCGGTGTTCGGTCCTTGAAAAGAAAGCTTTGCCTAAGTTGCCTCTGCAACCTGGTCAGCCTTTGACAGGATGCAAGCGAAGCAGAAGCAGAAGGACGAGCATCTTCACCGCAGTTAGTGACCGTGGTGAAAAAGGGCGAGGTCAGTGCTCGCACGAACATCAGCAGCAGGACAGCGCTTCGGCATGTCACCACACTTCACCTGGGGCTCGTGCAGTGACACGCCACTACTATACAAGAAGCACCGCTGCTTACGCACACGCAAACACGGAGTAAGCATCTGTCATCCGACATATACCCGAAGATTCTTCAAGACCTCCTTCACATAAGTCTCGGCACTTGCGGCGCCATGTCTCTAAAGAAGACGCGCTCGGAGCCGACGCTGAGCTCTCTGCCGCGACGCCAGGAGTGGAGGAGGCGGAAGCGGGGCGGAGAGGAGGCATTACATCAGTAAAGTTCAATTGCCAATTGAACAAAAGCCTTCACGGACACGTCAGGCTGATGGTGAATCCTCCAGAACGCTCTACGACCCAACTGGTAGCTGAGCCGTTGGTCACGCAATCAACGGATCCTTTGTTGGCCAGCATTGCGCGAAGCGCAATGTTGAAGGCCCCGGGGCGAACTGGGGACACTGGCAAGTTTCTGTCATGAGCTTTCACGTGTTGTCTTTGTCGCCTGGGCAGGCGAGACAAGAGCAACAAGACTTCCGGCCAGCGACTACCCATGGCAAGTATTGGTGGAACCAGAAAGAGCGAAAGGTGAACTGCTGGCGCTAAAGGCACGATTACATGCAGGCACCACGTCGCACGCTTTTCCAAGGAGCTGCCGAATGTGTTTCGAGTTGGATGAGCATGGCTTATGCCAAGTATAGACTAGACCGCATGCGCCGTTTCTACGCATGTCTACCCTATCTTCAAAGTTCATCGGGACCAGCTTTGGCCGAAGGCAAAGCTTTCAGTTGGCTTGACCGTAAAGACCAGCTACGACCACCCTCGGGAATTTTGGAAAAGGGGCAGAATCAGGGTCAAAGGACAGGCTTCCGGACGACGCTTTGGTTTTGGAGATGGTTAGAGTCAATGTTTCGTGAAGATGCCATGCAGCCTCTGCAGTTTGCACTAGGAGTGCTCAATTCGTCAAAGCTTTCGGCTCACCCACCTTTATAGCCCAGGGCCCGAAGGCATGTTCGAGAACATGAGAAGGGTCCCAAAGCAATTATTGAGGCATGGCAGGAGAAGCATGGCAGACAACTACCAAATGCTGATGGTGAGAATTGCAGTGTGGCAACACACCACCACGCCCAAACAGCTAAAGTATTCCGCCATGGACACTAAGCCTCCGCCGTAGAGGAATGGCGGTCGAGGAGATGATTCCATTTCTCGAACGGTTTGTTGCGCGGGTTGGACGTCAAACAAGATGGCAACGTCAGGAGCGTTTTTAATAGATAAGTTGTCACATCAAAGGACACATCAACCCCTGCGGGTGCTGGCAGGGTTGGGCGGCCAGATCTGTGCCTAGCCTGGAACACGACTTGTCCTGCACTAGCCGGACTAAGGCAGCAGCAGCCTTTCTCCATGACCTTGAAGGCACCGCGGTTGGTGTTCAGCGCTTCAGGATTTTGGTTCTTTAAGAGGAAATGTGCATTTTCGTTTGGTTTTGGAGCATTGGAGGGCTTTGGGGTGTGAATTGCAGCAAGCAAATCGCTCGGCATTTACACTGGCCGGGGTTTCGGTTGTAGGAGATATTGGCAGGGCCGGCATTCATTTTCGAAGAATGCACTCAGCGAAACGGGGAAATGTTTCTTTCGTTCTTTTTTCTGAGCCTACGGTTGCTTTGCTCTGCTAGCGCGGCCAGCGACTTCAAAGCAACAGCGACGCAAGCTCAGAAGTGCGAAGCTTTGCTGCTTCAGCATGCTTGCAGGTAGCAAAGATCCTGCTCAGCACGGCGCTAAGAAGGAACAGCAGGGCCTCGAAGAACGCAGAGTTTGGCTGCTATCCAGGTGTCCACCTCAGCCATCGTCTCCTTCAAAGAAGAGTCGATCAAAGAAGAAGGCACAAATCTCTGAGGCCTGGAACGAGGAACCAGGATCCGCTTTACTTTCACTTCGTACCTCAGGGGACCGCTGATCCGAAGTGGATCAACGCCTTTCGTGGTTTGGCAGAGGGATGTGCCACCCCCGTGTGAGCGTCACGCCCAACGCCAGCGCTGTTCTAAATTGGGCTGAGGCAAGGAGAAAGTCAATGACGAGGTCTTGACAGAGTGCCAGCCTCGGGCTTTCCGCAAAAAGCCGCCAGCCGGAGCGGAATGCGCCTTCCGCGTCTCCTCTCAGGTGCGCCAAGGCGGCGCAGCGCCTGGAGCCAAAGGTGCCGCGGAGAGCGCGGAGAGTGCTCCTTCCGCCTCTGCGTGCTGAGCAGAGCGCCGCTGGCAGGCTGCGGAGCTCTGTGAAGTTGCTGCAAAGGCAGGATTCGATGTAAATGACCTCGGACGTCAGCGCCCGAGCTCTTATCTCAGGGTTGCCAAGAGAGTCCAGAGGCCCAATAAGAAAGTGCAAAGGCGGTAAGAGTGCATTAAGATGAGCCAAAGCTCTGAAGCATTAAGTTGTCGGCTGGAGCTGAAGCCGACCACTCGTGTCGTAGCGCTCGGAAGATGTGCTTCAGAGGTGCTGTGTGCAAGCTGCTGTTCTTCGAGCCTACCGTTGGCCAACAGCGGTCTCAGGACGCAGTCATTCGCTGATTCAAAAACTAGACGAGCCGAGCTGCAGGATCAAGAATGCGATGATCTGCAGATAGTTCCGAAGCACTCAGAGGTTCGGCCTCATGGTTGTTGGGTGGTTGATTCTAAAGCCCCATATCGTGCACCATGCAGGTGTCTCTAGAAGAGTTTGGGGTGCAGGTAGCGTCCTTTGTCTTTTGTTGCCTGGCTGAGCCAGGGTGCAAATGCCCGCAAGGGCACCAAGATCCTTCAGCTGGCTGAGGAAAGCCTCAGGCACTGGTCAGGGTTTCTCGTTCTGCCAGTCGCCCTGCGAGAGTTCTTGACACAGGACAGAGCCAAAGGGACTGCTCTCTCAGAGGAGCCGTGTTTGTTTTCAAGCCCAGCAGACGGGTTCTGGGTTACCTGTGTGGCGTCTGGCGGGTAGAGCGTTGGCGCGACATCGCTGGGCTGCATGTTCAAGCGTTCTTGTGTATTCCGGAATGAAGGCTAAGCGGGAAGGTGGCAAGCCGAGGGGAACGTATGCTAATTTACGCAAGGCGTGCCCGGCTGTGTCGTGGCAGGGTCCTAGAGAAGGGGAAATGGCCTGCAAATGCATTCGGGTTGGCTTCAGGGACACTTGAGGCTTGTCATGACAAAAAGCCATTGCCGGCGTCTAGTGTGGAAGCAAACGTTTGTTTCTGGTCACGCGGACCTGCGGCCAGGAGTACAGTCTGCATGAAGGCCCTCGATTCTGGTGAGGAGGAGGAAGAGGAGGCTGTACACACAGAACCTGCGTTTGGCTACGTCAAGCGGGTATATCTTTCATTGTCTTTCATGGCAGGAAGGGGCCATCATGACGGACAAGTACTCCTACAAGATGGCCTGTCCCAGCTGCTGATGTTAAGCTACTCGAGGCTTCCATGTGTGATCTGTGCCCGGAAGGCAGCAGAGAAGAGCGAGAAGAAGCGCTCTTCAGCACAGGCGCCTGTGCCAGCGATGCTTGGCAAGATGTTTGGGCTCTGCATCCGGTCCGTCTTTCTGCCTCCCACAAGTGAGCAACATCATTGAAGCTTAGACTGAAGCAATCTGCTGTTCGATTGATGCCACATGCCTGTAAGGAAAGGCGCTGATGATCCTCATCCGTTGTATGAGGACCCTGCAGCCAGACTGTGAGGGCGATTTTGTCTCAGTATTGGTGCGATGCCCTGCCGGGAGGCTATGGTTGACTTTCAGGGAGAGGTGCAATGTCTGGAGGAGGTCCTGGCTATCAGGGTGCAGTTTTTGTTGTGCTCTTTCTTTGCATGTTTCATTGAATGTCTCCCACTCCACCTGCTGCAGGCTCTTCAGGAAACTCCGGCAGCGGCCCTGCAGGCCCGTGATTTCAGACGGCGAATTTTTTTCGCTTGGGGAGATTGTTAGTTGCGGATGTCCGCCCGAGCAAAAAGGCACCTCTGGATGAGGGAAGATCGATTCCCTCACCGCTGTTTTATGTGAGCAGCTGAGCTTCAGTACTTGGGCCATGCGTTGGGGTTGCAGCGAGCACAAGGCTGTGGGTCATTTGAAGAGCCCTGGAGTCGTGAAGCTGGAATCCTAGTCCTGAACCGGAAGGAAGCGCGAAGCTGTCTTGAGCCCTGAGAGACTCTGAGGTTATTGCTGCAGAGCCAGGCGAATCCCAGGGCGCGCTTTAGTATGAGCAGCTGGGGGTGGGATGCCCGGTACTAGCCCGGTCTAACGGCCTTGCTGAGTTGAGGAGTGTCACTATATTTCGGGTACCTCTTGCTCCTCCGAGCTGACTGAGGATCTTTGAGAAAGGCATGACGGCCTTGGAAGCTGCGCTTGGCTGAGATGCCGTAGATCGCTCAAGCTGATTTTGAGGACTGGCTGTGCCGCCCAGGTCCAGAAGCACCAGAGCACTGGCGTAACGCTGGCATGTGTCAGTGTCCTGCCATCCTGCCTTATCATGAGTTTCTCGTCGCCTGTCAAGCTCTGACCTCTGACCAGCGATGTCTTTCCTTGTGCGACGTCACTCGACAAACGGGCCGTTTCTTGTCCGCGCGTACTGTTTCGCACTGTTTTCCTGGGCCTGGTTGGAGGATGTGGGAGGCGGCTCCTGTTGTTCCAGTCGAATCGCAACAAGCGAGTGCTTCGTGCTGATCAGCCCGTGTGTCTCTCGCATCTTCGGGAGGGATCGTGGCTTGGTTTAGCCGGTGGACACATCGAACTTCGTTCCCTGACTCTCGCTCACATGACCAGTTCTTGCCAGCGACAATGTAAGTTGCTTCAGCTTCCGGTCAGGATTTCCGGATGCAAGCCATCGGCGATCTTCTGCGGCAGTCGCAGGAGAGCGTCTGAGTCTCGCTCTGCTAACGCTGCTTACACGCTAACCGCAGGAGAAGCTGGGCCAGGGCTCCGAGCAACTCCCGCAGAGGACCCAAAGTTCCCAAGCGAGCGGAGAGCGGAGAAGCTTCCGTCTTCGACTTCGCTCTTCCCAGGTCTAAGGCCAGGCCTCGCTCCCTGAGCTTCAGCGGCCAGAGCGGCCCACTCCACCTGCACAGTGCCCGGGATCCCGGTGCAAGGCGGCACAGGATCGGCCTTCCAAGAAGACGCGTCTTGCCTTCGCCTTCGAGACGCTGTGGACCCGAGGCCACCTCGGAGCTGCTCCTGGGCCAGCGCTCCGAGCCTCTCGGGCCCGGCGCCATCCAGGAAGAGCGAGGGCCCTAATGTAGGCACTGGCCTTCCGCTGCTCTCTGCTGCGCCGCTGCTTCCCCGCGGTCTCGCCCATGCACACAGGTACGTCGTGCAGCAGTCCGTCGTCCAGCCCTTGGAGAGAAGACTCTGCGTTCCCCCCACAGAAGAGCACAAATGCGCTTGAACTGAGGATGCCGCAACCTTCAAGAGGCGTGGTGGAATGCTGCAATGCTTGGCCGTCGGCTTCGCAGAATCCTTCAACATGTCTGAGTCAGGCTCGGACGAAGGCGCAAGGGAGGGGTAGTTTGTGGTGCCCTGGAAGAAACGACCCTATAGCCCCGTCACGTCGCACAGTTCTTCCCCGTACGGCTTGCTTTGGCAGTGCGACATGACAAAGTAATGTGCAGGCACAGCCACATGCCGGTGGTTCGGAGGACCGCACCTAGCTTTGCTCATGAATCGCGGAAATCATCATGTAGATGTAGAGATCCCAGAACGGTCAATAACGTCTTGGACTCACAAAGTCAAAACTACTGAAGCAATCCGAAGATGTTATGAGAGATGAGCTAGGATGAGCTTGGCAGCTGCAGCCTCAGTTTCCGAGATCATGTGACACCATGTGATACAACCCCTGCTCGATCACCGACTTGTTTCCGCACTTGCTGCCAAGAACCGGCGCCCCAGCGTAGTGCCCCCAGCTTTCGGCCATTTGCACTCTTGGACTGGTCGCAGAAATCTTGCAGTTGGTGCGGCCCATCATCTTCTGCAAGCATGTGGATGGCCATCCTAGCCAGGACTGAGCATTCCTGACACGGAGCTGTTTCGTTCCTGGTTGGTGGCATGTCCATGCTGCGCAGATGTACGAGATGGGCAAGCAGATTGGCGCCGGCACGTTCGGCACAGTCTGGAAAGCCAAGCATACGCAGAAGCTCACCTAAAAAAGGTAGGGTGGGCAATGCCTGAGCGGTAGATGAGATCCAGTCATTGCCCAGGACTGGTCAGCTGCATGCGGCGGGAGCCTTGAAGTTTCGTTGCGCATCCCACGTTCCACGGCGACAGCACGCAGATCAAGAGCTGCCCGAAGAAGCTGATACCCAGCGACGAACTTTGGGCCTGGCGCCGGGCCGTGCATGCCAGCTCTCTCTCTCTCTCTCTCTCTCTCTCTCTCTCTCTCTCTCTCTGTCCCCGAGCTTGCCGCAAGGCCGAGATTGACATTATGAAGCAGCTTGACCATGCCAGCTGCTGAGCTTGTAACGTCATTGTGAGTCCGCTTCACAGCTGTTTGCCCAGCCTCACATCATGCGCCTGTACTACACCTTCGAGGATGAGCAGCCTGGAACTTCAGAAGCGACGCTTCTGGATATGGGGCTGCACGTGTCCAGAGACATGATTCCTCAGGTGCATCTTCATTGCCTCAGAGCTTTGTGAAGGTGGCGAGCTGTTCAATGCCATGATTGAGGCCTTTGTCAGCAGTCCAACAGTTTCGCAACATCAGTTGCGCTGAAGACCTTGCTGCTGCGGATTGAGTCTCGTTGATAGACTCTGATAGACTGGTCAGGCAGGGGCTCTAAACGAGCAAACTGCGGTGCTTCTCTTCAAGCAGATCATGCCAGCATCTGAGAGCTTGCGAGCCTCTGTTCACTCTGTACTTGCCTATGTCGCTGCGTGACGGAAGAGGAGCGCGGTCTCCTACATTCACATGAACATGGTGTGCCACCGCGATTTGAAGCCCGAGAACTTTCTCATCTCCAAGAAGTGCGAGATCAAGGAAAGCTGAGCTCTCCTATAGACCTACTCGTACAACGGGGGGGGCAGCGCAGATCTCGGTGACGTAAGCTTGTGGAGGACAGCAAAGTCAAGCTCATCGACTTTGGAACCGCGAAGCGCTTCGACTTGCACCCGCTCACGACCAAGGTCAGGCAGTGAAGGCATCTAAGGTTGCAGTCGTACACTGGCCTTGCAGGTGTGCACGGTGCATTATGTTGCCCCAGAGGTCCTCAAGAAAAGCACGGATTCACAGCAACGCAATGAAGTTTGCAGATGTGTGCGGATGTGTTCTTGTACTTCCTGTAAGGCATGGATCCATATACAGAAAAAGTGGATGTGTGGTCCGCCGGGGCTTGGTAGCCCAGTGCGGATCTATCTCCCGGATTGTACTGTGGTGATAGTCTCTGTTGGCAACATGACCGAAGCCCAGGTGGTTCTGTTCGTCATGCTGGCCGGCACACCCCCATTTCACAGTGATGATGACGTCGAGCTGATGAAGAAGGTGAAGAAGGCGTTCGCGCCTCACACATTTTGTCAGCCGACTCCTTCTCACTCAAAAGGCTTAGAGTAGATGCCGAGACCATCGCCAAGGAAGTGGGAGTTCAAGCCAGAGAAGGCATGGCGACGTGTCTCTGAGTCAGGGAAGGAGCCCAGGCCCAAGATCAGACGTCTTGAACATTTCTTTAAGCTCTTGGGGAGCCCAATCCAAGGCTGGTGTCCAGCATGTTGACGAAGGAGGTCGATGCGAGACCTCACTCTGCTGAGGCGCAGAGCCCGAGTTCTGGACGGCCTCGACATTCAGCTCTGATTGAGACTTTGCGGCAGGTCTTAGCAGCCGACTGGTTTCGTCAGGAGGCGCCTTTGATCCTGGACTGCTCGCATTATAGCTTGCTTTGTTTGTTCTATTTTGTTCTCGTGCAGCCCGACATGCGTCTGCCAGGTGGTGGCGAAGCAAGACACCAAGGTAGATGCCATGGCCCAAGACATCCGGGACGGTCGAAGTCCAAAGCATCCGATGTGTATGTGAGCACACGCATAAGCTGGGGGCCAAGTCGCAAGCATCCACGCAAGGAAGATAACCTGACTCAGATGCGGACCTTCGCCAGCTGCCTAGCAGCCGTCCAAGAAAATCATGTCCAGCCAACATACACGCACGGAGGTCGCACAGAGTCGACTGAAGAAGGTTGCCCTTCAGATCATTGCTCGACAGGCCCGGGGATCTGACCTCCAAGCCTCCCAGCATGCGTTTGTCATGGCCAGTCGATCAGTGCTGATGGGTAGCCTTGAAGATCTCGGATGACACCATTGAGAAGCTTCGTGGCATTTTCCTGTCGTTGGACGACGACCATTCGGGTACCCTGTCAGCGAACTGCTCAGCTTGCAAAGAGTTGCGGAGCTCAGTCGAACCGAAGGTCCGATCGCACCCCTGAGGTGGAGGAGATCGATGATGCTTTGGAGCGCTTAGAAGTGGAGGAGCCGATCCGCATCGAGATGAGGTGCGGCAAGATGGCTGTCGCTTGTTGGGTACAGATCTTGATCCAAGGCGCCTGATGCATGAGATCGATGTCGACGGGAGCGGAACCGTAAACTACACAGAGTCGTTCGCCAAGCTTGAACGGTAACTTCACGAGCCAGGGCATCATGTCCGAGGATCGGGTCCATGAGTCACAAAGAGCGAGCGAGGTTCATCGCCGCCAACATCTCGAAGAAGCAGTATTTGCAGGAACAGGTCTGTGGGAAGCCAAGCTCTGACGGCGTCAGCGCTGGAGTTCCTTGCCATGCAGCTACACATGGCTACACTGCTGAGGCAAGGCAGCTTTTCACATTTTCGACGTCAATGGTAAGAAACCTGGACTGTGTCGGCGGTTTGACTTGCCCTGCGTGAGCCACTCTGTTTCAGATGTTTCAGCCGGTCAGCCAACGCAACCAGCCATTGTGCAGCATGTTGCCAGGTGCCTAAGTATGCAAGCAGGCGTTGGAATCGATAAGCGGAGAACCGAATTTAATCTCGAAAAGTCGAAAAGTTAAGTCGAAATGCTTTCGACTCATAGCCTTTTTTTCTGTGCTCTTCGCACTTTTCGGTGCTCTTCGGGTATTTCGACGTTCGCCTTTTCTCGTTTGTCTGCGCTTTTCGCACTTTTCTGTACTTTCCGGGCGTGTCTGTTTTCTGCGCTTTTCTGTACGTTTTCCGTTGTTTCGGCTTTTCGCATTCTTCCTGAGCTGTTCGAACGTTCGGCACTTTTCGGCTTCAGGTTTTCGCAGAAAAGCTCCGTTTCCAGTCGTAAGTGCAGCGGCAAGGCCAGGGCCAGATTGGGGGTAGGCAGGCCCAGAGGGATGGATAGGGGTAAGCAAGGGCTGGTTGTAGGAAAATATGTGAAAATGCCGAGGGCTAGGCCTGAGGCAGCAGTAAAACGAGTAGCAGTCGGCAGTAGTCGTAGTAGCACTGTCACTCGTCGTGGCGGTAACTTTCAGCAGAATCGAGCTTAATGGCAAATTTTGCTGCATGTCAAACCATTTCGGGTTCCCCCGAAGCCACCAGAAGTAGCCAAAACATAGGAGCCGCAGACTCGCAAATTCAGTGATTTGGTACTGTCAACCCCAACGAACGGAGCCATCCGTATTTTGGTGTATTTTTTTTAGATTTTGGGGACCCTAAAAGCAAGTTTCAATGACTTCTGAGCATTTCGTGTGTCCAAGAGTCTGAAGAGTGACCAAGACACGGCATTTCGATTTGTTTTGCGGGTCTCAGGAGCCAGCCGAGAATCTTGCGCGTGCGAGATTCCCATCTGGTTTTCGATCACTTTGGGCATCGTCGGAACACCTGAACTGCACGAAACCATGGGCATTTTTGTTTTTTCTGGTTGCAGGAATCCTTGATGACAACTTTCAATGTTTTTTCAGCATCTCGTGGTTCCGACAGCACCAAGTTGGACTTATGTTTCGGGTCAGAAACCAACAAGAGTTAAGTCTGGCTGACTTTGAAGTCGAGCTCATCCTAGAAATAAGTAAACATAGATGCTTTTGGCCGAGATGGGTCTTCGGGTTACACAAACACCTCGGAAGCGCTTGTCTCAGTCGTGTTTGACCAGACTGGTTGAGTTTTCCCCTTCTTCGGTGGTTATGGATGCTTAACGTTTTCGATCGTTTTGGATATTTCGACTTGTCGAGTTTTCGACTTATAGCCTTCAGCTGTACTTTTACACCCAAGTTACATCTCAGGGGGAGGGG